CAAATGTCTCCTCCCCAACACATACACGCGCCCCTATTCTCCTAATCATGGATTATAGGAGATAATCTGGCCAACTATTTCATGGAGAGAATAGATTTTTTTTTTCCAGTTAGGAGTTTTCTGAACTTCTTGAAAGCAAATCCACCCTCCTAAGAGCAGGAGCCCCAACCCCTGGGCCATAGACTGGAACCAGTCAGTAGTCTGTTAGGGACCAGGCTGCACAGCAGGAGGTGAGCTTGAATGCAATGTGTTTGAATCATCCTGAAACCATCCCCCCCCCACACCCAGCCCTGGTCCGTGAGAAAACTGTCTTCCATGACACTGGCCCCTGGTGCCAAAAAGGTTGGGGACCACTGCCTCAAAGCATCCAATCCATTAATCCTTTCAATAAAAGTAGATGCCCTTCCTCCTAAGGCTGATTCGCTCACCTATTCTCTTAACTTCATCTTCTCTAGTCTCTTTTTTATCTTGTAAATTTAGCCTTTGTTTTTGTCTTATATTTTCACCACCTTCTTCTGCTGGACCCGTCCCCATCAGCATTTAGATCCCTTGAGTCTCTCCCATCCAAAAAACAAACTCAAACTGCCTTGACCCATCACCCTCTACAGGCACTCCTCTCCTCCCTCACTCCTGGACGAAAGTCCTGTCATTGCTATCTCAGTTTCTTTTCCTAATCAGTCCTTAACTTGTTTGGATATAGAATTTCTCCCCTCCCCTCCCCCACCCCATAGAACTTATCTATAACTGTTCTTACTAAGGTAAGAACAGTTCTTACCTTTGGTATTTCTACCAAAGACTGTACATAACGCTGATTCTAATGGATTGTTCCCTACCTTCATTTCGGTCAACCACCTGGCAGTGTTGGCATTTCTCTTCCTACCCTCTCTTTTGAAACATTGACCTTGATGTTATATTCCTCTGTCTTTTCTCCTTTCTCCAGCTGCCATGCCGCCCTTTCAGGTTCTTCCTTTTCCTATGCAACCCACACACATTGGCACTTCTCAGGGGTAAAATCCTACACCCCCTTCTGTTCTGACTCTAGACCAAGAGTTCAAACTCCAATGCTTTAGAAACAAGGAAAGTAAAAAAAAAAATAAATAATGCAATTCGAGTCTAAGACATTAGACCTTAGATGGAAGCTGTGGTAAATGGATAGCTCACACCACATAGGGAGAGGATGGTCTCCATTTAAAGGAAAGTAGCCCTATATGCTTGAATTTCTAAAAAACCTATTTATACACATAGTTTCTTCAACATAAAAAAAAAACAAAAACCACTGTGTGGCCCTGGCTGGTGTGGCTCAGTGGATTGAGTGTCAGCTTGTGAACCAAAAGGTCACAGTTCCATTCCCAGTCAGGGCTCATGCCTGGGTTGCAAGCCAGGTCCCCAGTTAGGGGTGCAAGACAGGTAGCCAATTGATGTTTCTCTCATTCTTCCTCTCTTCCCCTCTCTAAAAGTAAATTTAAAATGTTTAAAAACTGTGTGAATAATGACGATGATAGTAAAATACCAGTAGTCCAATTCAACCTATAAGCTGCTAGTCTATTATCCCTGCATATTTTCCTTAAACAATCTCATCTATATTCATGGCTTCAATACCCACTTTATGATCAAAATCTTTAAGGATAGTTCTCTCACCTAGACTTTCTATTCAACTTTGTATATAGTGACTTGTTGACATTACCCCCATTCAGTTGTGTCCTTAATTGCCCCTCCCCTCCCCATTCCTCTCTCTCCAACTGGTTCCTCCCCTTGTATTCCCTACTTTGGTTATGGTACCAACAGTCAACCTGCTTAAGCCAGAAACCTAAGAGCCGTCCTTGATTGTTCTCCTCGTGTTTTGAGTGTATTCAACATGGCATATTCAGTACCTGTGGCATACCTTCCTGTCAACACTGACTCTATCACTAGATTCCATAGTTCTCTAATCCCTTTGCCACCATGCTTCCACCTAGGTTGCTAACAGCCTCCCAGATGGTCTCTACTCTTGCATCTTGTCTCATTATCTATTCTCCATATTCAGGCTAGAATTCTCACTCTAACAGGTAAATCTTACAAAGTCACCACTCTGCTCAATCTTCATGGCTTCCCTTTGTCAGTGTACGAAAAGTTCTACATCGTTAACCGTGTCTGAAAGGCCCCCGTGGGTCTGTCTTCGCCACATTCTTCCAGTTCGGTAATGCTATAGTCTGTGCCCCGGCTAAGAACGCTCACGAGTTCAGGGTGCTTCTTCAAGGTCACTAGCTTTCCCTGACCCCCAGATTACATTGTCCTTCCCATCTCATAATACTCAAAAGTCAGCCCCCAGGCAATTAACTATTTGAGATGTCTATCAGACCAAAAATCAGAAGGCAGAAACTCCACCTCGTCCACCACCGGATTTTCCAGTCCTTCAAAGCACTGCCTATCAACATTGACTCTCAACCAATGTGTGTTGGAATAACGGTTACATTCACTTCGCTACGAGTTCTTCCCTAATTTCCACCCTCTTCTCTCTTTGAGAAAATAAATGTCAACTATCTCATTTTCCTTAAAAAACATTTTCTCCCCCGAATGAATGAAGGAGCCAGTCACTTGAGGTTGATGATGGGTCACTGGCCTCATCAAATGCGGTGGTGTAGTGAGTAGGGTGTTAAGCCGGAGTAACGGCATCACGTGTAAGTAATCGCATCTCATCCACCAGATCCAGAGCCCAGCACCCACGTGCTGGCCGCAAAGCACCGAGAGGGCGGGCACCCGGGAGGACGATCCCCCTCCCCCCGGCGGCCGGACGTGCTCGCGCCCGTGGCCGCCCAGCCCGCGCCACGGCCCCCGGGTCTCGGAGCGAGCGCACGTGCGCCGGCCGGACTTGAGCGGAAGGAGCGCCCCGCACTCACGCAGACATGGAGGGCGAGGCGCTGTTTAGGGGTAGGGAAAGGTGTGGGGCGAGTTCCGCCCCGGGAGGGGAGAGCAGAGCAGGGCAGGAGAGGCTTTGAGGGACGTGGAGGAGCGAGGGAGGATTCCGAGCTAGGTAAGGCGGGTCGATCCTGAGCTGAGGAGGAAGGGGGCGGGGAGGGGCGGAGCCAGGAAGCAGCCGCATAAAAACCCTGCGGGTGCGCGTGGCGGGTGGATCCTGAGCCCCGGACGGAGCGCGGGAGCCTGCAGTCGGGCCGGAGTGGGTGGAGAGTGGAGATCGCCGCCGCGGCCCCGCCAGGCACTGCACCGGCCCAGCCCCCACCCAGCCCACGGCAGCCCGAGTCCCTCCTTCTTGAGCGCGCGCGCGCGGCCTCGCGGCGCCGAGCTCCGACTCCCCACGGTTGGTCCCTCCCCGCCGCTGGGTGCGTGGCCCATCCCTCTGCTGTCTGCGCTCTCAGGCAGCCGCGTCAGCCGAAGCCTGACGCAGTGACGCTTTACGTGGACGTAAGTGACGCACAGGTCCGGGCCGCTCCTCCTTCCTTGAGTGAGTGCCGGCCCGGTCGGGGCGGGGGAAGAGAGGGGGGGGGCGGGGAGGCAGAGGCGACCCGGGAGTCGTTGTGGGCCGCGGGCCGGACCGGGTTCCGCGGCGGCGGGAGCCTGGGCCGCGCAGAAAGGTTTGGCGGGCCGTTAGAGGGCCCGGGCGGCTGTCGGCCGGGCCCCTGCCGGACTTGCGCGCCCGGGCGCCCGGAGCCTCCGACGCGGCGCCTATCCCGCTCCAGCGCGCGTCTCCCGACTCCAATTAGGTCAGGCTCGGAGTCCTGCGGCCGCCACTCCGGCCCCCGGCGGCTCGCCTTTCTTCTCTCGCCTTCCTCTCGCCTCCCCCTCCCCCCTTCTTTTCACGTTGCTGGGGTGTCGGTTTTTGTTGTTTTCTGCTTTCGGGGTTCTGTTCCTCAGCCCAAGCTCATGGGTGTACATTATCATGCTCCTCTTTTGTAGAGCAACCCGCCGGCCATGGAGGCCGAAGAGACGATGGACTGCCTTCAGGAGTTCCCGGAGCATCACAAAATGATCCTGGACCGGTTGAATGAACAGCGAGAGCAGGACCGGTTTACTGACATCACCCTGATTGTCGACGGTGAGTGGGGTGGAGGGCTCGGGCGGGTTTGGGGCTTCGGTCCTCACCTTCCTCTTCCCAGCTCCTCGGAGCTCCCTATCAGAGTCTGCGGAAAGTGCGCGCTGGGCCCGGAGGACGCTTGTCAGTGCAGCTCACATGGACCGCCGGCCTGCAGAGGCTAGTTGGCGGGCAGTGACGATTTGGACTGAACCGTGGCGTTTTAACTCCTGGAAGTTTTCCCATTGCACACCTGAGTGCAGGATTATGGGGTGGAGACAGTGGGGACGTCTCTTAATGTTTGTTTAATAGCTTCTCTGGGTAAGCTGCTTTGAGTGTCCCACAGAAGTCATGTGGGAAGGTTGATTTTTTCCCCCCCAGTTTCTCAAATGGTCTTGGAGACTAAGAGGTTCCTTTGCAGCACTGGTACCCACCTTCTTTGGGAACCCCCAAAGCAAAATGAGGTCTTTGTCAGTCTTGGGTGTTGTCATTATAATGGAGGCAAACCCAGCTTGGGTGTCTTTTCAATCTAGTGGAAATACGCTTCTTCCAAATATTAGGCATATTAAAATGTTTCTCATAGCGAACACGTGCAGCTTCATGCCTGTCCTGTAGCTTTTTCCCCTTCTCTTTCCGAATGATTTGTAACCTGCTGGGTGGTGGTTATATTTAGTAGTTTTCACTGAATAGTATATGCCTTTCACTGTTTGATTAAGTGATAGGAGGCTCCTGCCTCCTGAAGTATTGTAAACTGGCCTTTATAAAACTACTCAATAAGGCCTTTGAGGTAAAGATCTGGCTTTGTGTCTAATTGAGATTAAAATTTGTCGAGACAGCTGCCCAGAATATTCTGACTTCAGTAATTTCTGTAGTTGTATAATTACATTATGAAGATTTATTTCATGTAATTTTCTAAGTTGTTTTCTAGTTTTATATTTGATGTTTGTGAATATGTATGGTTTTATTTTCTTTCTGCCTAGGTCACCATTTTAAGGCCCACAAGGCTGTTCTGGCTGCTTGCAGTAAGTTCTTCTACAAATTCTTTCAGGAGTTTACTCAGGAACCCTTGGTGGAGATTGAAGGTAAATACTTGTTTCAAATAAAATTGTTCAGTAAACGTTATGGTTGATGAGGTTTTAGGGAGTTAATTAGTAAGAGACCATGGGACATTGGCATCAGGGGTTCTATTAGGTGACTGAATAAATCGTTCTTTTGACACCTGAGAATTCTTACTTCCAGTCAAGTGCTTGGTGCAGTGACCTGCCAGGAAAAACTCCTCTGTTAGGTGGTAGGTGCTGGTCTCTGAAAAGAGCCTTTTCCACTGCTAAAACCCGCAGTCACTTGCCGTCTTTTGAAAACATATTACAGTGAAGTCCCATCTCTGTTCAGCGGGCTCGTGTTTCGGATTGTGGGGTGCTGAAGGGTAGTGGAGAGGCCTCTCCTAGCAGAGGTACAGGCGTGAGTGGCTCGGTGCGAAGTGGCTGCTGAGGTGTGGAAAGGGCGAAAGATGAACTGAACTAGCATTCAGAAGTTGGAGTGGCTTTAGAAGGTCGGGGGTAGAAGGGGTTAGCCGCTAGATTCCGTCTTGTGATAGTAAGTGATCTTTTGTTCGAGCTTGACTTCTCTGTGATAATGGCCTGCCAGCCGCTAGGTGTTGCTACATAGTCTGTGCATTTCCCGGGGCTCTCAGCAGTGATCCCTTGAAGTAAAGTGGTGTTTTTCCAATTAATACACCAGGGAACAGGCTCCAAAGGTTACTTGCCCAAAGTTGCCCGCTAGCAAGGGAGTCGTAGTTTAGAACTAGGAAATAAATCAGCTTGTCCACATAAATGCCGAGTTTTAGCTTCTTTCAGGGCTGAGTTTTGGTTTTGGATCTCTTTTTACCACGTGTATACTCTTTGTTGTGAAAGGGTTGCCTAGAAACACTATTCCCTTGGAAAATTTTTTGTGCCTGGGGGAGTAAAGAAAATGTAAAAAGTTAAGAGCATCCTTTTATGTTAGCACATCCCAGTTGCTTTGTCCCAGGGTGGGTTATCTGCTGATTGTCTGACGGACAGCACACAGACATAATGGGAATCCACAGAGCTTACTGACGTGGGGGTCTCGCTGCCTGGATGGCATTGATGTGCAAGGTAAGATTTCATGCATTTATCCACCTGAGGTACTGTGTGACCCCAGGCAGGTTACTTTACCTTAATTGTATACTAGCCTTCTCATCTGAAAAGTAGGTTATTAGGCTTGATTAATTGAAATAACGTGCAGAGTGCCTGGCATAGTGTTGAGTGGATTATCAAAGCTTAATAAATTGGGGCTATTTGTCAGTTGAATATTTATAGTTCATGTACCATGCTACACCGATGAATGAAGAATTGATGAATAAGACAACCCTTTACAAATTTGCAAATTTAATTACGGAGAAGCAACAGGTGAAGGAGTGCAGAAAGTGTGGCAGAGACTTTTACTGTGGAACGGCGTCCCTGAGGAGGGAGAATGGGCGGTTGGTCTACCTTAGAGAGATGGGAAAGATTGTGAAGAGGAGTTGACTCTGGAGCAAACTCTTAAAAAGTCAGAAAATTAGTGACCAGGCTAGAGTGTGGATTGCTGGTGCGGCAAGGACTGCCGAACTGCCGGAGAAGCGGGGGTCTTCGCTCCTGAAGACCGGTCACCTTGGCATGTCTCTTGGACATCGTGGTGCCTCTGACTGCTGGGTGGCACAGCACATGCAAGCCCTTGGTGTCTAAACTGTAGACCCGTAAGGAAGTAAAAGGTAAGAGCTCTTTCTGTTTTTGTTATTTGCCAGATTCAGGTTTAAAGAATTAGTTTGGCTCAGTGCTATCGTCTTAACCTGTTAACTGTGGGATTGCTCTGCAATGTACCGCGCTCACCTGGCCCTCAAGAAGGCCCTGAGCGTGTGTCACTGGGAAACCCGAGTTGTAGTCCTGGCAGTACTGTCAATTGTGTGACCTTGGGCATGTTGGCTTTCTTTTTTTAATATGAAAAGAAGTAATTTTGGGCCCTGTCATGGATGTTTTGAATATTAGGTCATCACACTGTGGGTATGCTGGAGAATGCTTTTGTTGTATTGACTTTGGTTTATTTTAGGAGGTTATCAACCTGCTTAGGGTCAGGCTGCCTTACCTAGGCTGTGGATCCAGTGCCAGTTTCATTTTCAAAACCTGTATGGTGCTGCCTGGGCCCCAGGTGTGCTGACCTGGGCGGCAGTTCACGCCACGGTGAAGTTGCCAGAGCCTTTGCTGCGTCCCCGCAGGTCAGTTCCCCTTGTGTGGGGCTCGGTGGTAAGCTTGAGGCTGCGCGCGAATCGAGAAGGCCTTTCTCTAGACCTCTCTGGTCTCTGCACACAAGCTCCCAGCTGAAAGTCTGGGGTTTTAGCCGCCCTGAGCTGTCTCCACTCCCCACCATGGGATCTACTTCTTGGACGCAATAGGGAGAGAAGAGGGAGGGAACGGAAGGACAGGAATTCTCTTCGTGCTCTTGATGCCATAGTCTCTCTCCTAGCTCTCTGGCAGAGAGAAGAACTTGCTCTCCGACCGGAGGAGCTTGCTCGGTGGCCAATCCCAGTGTGCAGCCTCAGAACCGCGGCTTGCCTTTAGGGAGGGCTGAGACAGGGGAATAAACACCGAGTATTTTCTCCTCACCCCACACACAAACTCTCCATCTTCTTCCCTGGTTCTCTAGCCCGAAGGAGTTTGTCCTGCAGCTGCTTCTCCCGGCATCTGCTACAAAGTTCTGGGACTTGGGCCATCCTGGAGTCTAAGCTGGGATACGGGAGGGGGAAAAAAACCCCAGGAAACTCCTTGTTCTTTGAGTTTTGGTTTCTCTCTCCAATTTGCTTGCTTCCATTTATTTTTCAGAGTCCTTGTTTATTTATGTTATGTATTTTCTCCAGGATTTGTAGTTGTAATCAATGGGGAAGATAAGATAGAGTGTGCTTTCTCCATCTTAGCTAGAACTGGGAACCTGCCCCCCCCACACACACACACAAATTCTGTAAAATAGGAATAAGGACCTGTAGTGATGGCTCTTGGTCCTTAGTGGCAAATCAGAAACACCAGGGGAGCTTTTGCAAGTACCAGTGCCCAGGCCATATCTCCAGATTGAGTGGAGCTGCCTTTGAGGGTGAGCATCCAAGCGTCTGTATTTAAAAGTTGTTTAGGTCTTTGTTATTCAGGGTGTGGTCTGAGGGCCAATGATAACAGACATCACCTGGGAGCTTGTTAGAAGTGTAGCTTCTTGGGCTCCACCCTAGGCCTACAGGATCAGTATAAGGCCCTTAGATGATTCCTGTGTACAGCAAAGTTAGGGCAGCGGTGCCCTGGAACCATTTCATCGTGTAGCCATTGTTGAGAACCACCGCTTCACAGGGTGCTGTAAAAGCAAACGATATGCTTGCAAAAGAAACTTCACTTCTAATGTGTTCTGTATCACTTGTCACTAGGTGCAAACCGAGCTACGTCTGCCCCTGTTTTTCTCTGTCCCTAGTGAAGTAAGTTACCTCTGGTTAGAACCATAGGTTCACCTTTGGCTTCAGATAAAATTCTTACCGCCAAAGCCAGTTGCTTTGAGGCAGCTTTGTGACTTGAATTCACACCACATAAAATCTCCAATGAACATTCATGTCTTTGTTTGGAACACAGCCTTCTAACCTGAGCCTCCAGTTTTCTAAGCTCGTCCTTTCTCTGTTCCTCCTGCAGCCACAGCCATGGGCACCTAGTGTTCTCTCTCATAGCAACTCTGCAGTCGAGTCAAACTTGAGCCCTTACTGTCAAGGTCAGGACACCCAAGTCCATACTCAGGCATGTGCTTTTTGAGTGGGAGTTTTCACTAGTTGGGGGAATTCCCTAAGGCTAGAGCAATTTAAGAATTCTTCCCCTTTGTTTCTTTCTCTGGGAAAAAAGACTCAGATTAAGGTGTAACATTTTCCTTAGATACTTGTTTAGAAAAATTGTATTCTATAGCACACTTCTATTATGAAAGAAGTAAGGGATTGATGAGAAAATGGGCTGAGATTTGAAGAAATCTGATAGAAAATAAAGTATTTTCACGCCCATCCATCATCTGCCACCGCCTCGCTTCCCGGGGCCGAGTTACCAGGTTGGTTCAAGTTGGTTGATTACTCAGAGAAGTTCTCTCCTGCAACCATTGTGGGCCTGGCCTCATAAAGAAGCACCAGGGGTGCTTGTAAAAAGTTTCCCATCCCAATTTTGACCTGGAGATCAGGGACCCATGGGCCGTGGGAGCGGTGTGTGAGTTTAAAGTGCAAGTTCACTAGTGAGACAGAGTAGATAATACACTACGTCATGGGCAGAGGAGCATTAAATGTGTATGTATATACTTATTGTTTATTTTAGAGAGAAAAAACAAAAATCTGTTGTTCTGCCCACTCATGCATTCATTGACTCTTGTGTGTGCCCTGACCGGGATTGAACCCAGAACCTTGGCGCATGGAGACCAGCCCCTGCTTTTGTTAAGTCTGCAGGTGACCGGTGACTGAGATTAGGGGCCGAGTCCACATGCGTAAATCCTAGAGGCCGGACGTTTCTCGAAATTACAGATTTTTAGAACTTGCTGCAGTGATGTGGTGTGTGTCTCACGGACTCTCCCAGTGGGGTCAAGGCCACGCTGTGACCCGGTAATGTTTCAGCAGTGTGGCACAGCATGATTTATCTAAAGATTTTATTTATTTTAGAGAGAGGGGAAGGGAGGAAGAAAGAAAGGGGGGGAGAGAAACATGGATGTGTGACAGATCCAGTGATCAGTTGCCCATCACATGCCCCCAGCTGGGGACCTGGCCTGCAATTTAGGCATGTGCTCTCACTGGGAATCGAACCAGCGATCATTCAGTTCACAAGCTGGCACTCAGTCCATTGAGCCTCACCAGCCAGGGCTACCATTTACTCTTAGTAGGGATAAAGATTATAAATAGCCTTAGTTCAGATAAATTTGCTCCCAAACTTATGAGAAAACTGGATTTAAGAGATTGGAGGACTTTGGAATTGTGCATATGAGATTCTGGGCCTGTAGTGAATGAAATGTCATGGGCATTCGGTCTCTTCCCAGCAGGAACATTTTTGGCCATCCTATTTAAAAATCTTCATCACAGACTTTGGAATTGGGGCATCTCTTTGATCCTAGTATTTTTCTTTTTGATGTACATATTTTTAATTTCTATTTTATAGATTATGGCATTACAGTTATCCTGATTTTTCCCCCTTTGCCCTTCTCCACCCAGCACCCCCCACTCCCTCAGGCAGTACCCCCACCCTTGCTCATGTCCCAAAGTCATGTGTGTAAGTTCTTTGGTTGCTCCCTTTTGCATCCCTGTGGATGTTCTGTAATTACCTTGTAAATCCCCTTACGTCTCACCCATTCTCCCACACCCCCCTCATCTATTTATCTTTAGCCTTTGGCATTTTAATTCTGATGTGTCTTGGACTGGGTCTCTCTCTATCCATCCTTTTTGGGACTCTGTGCTTCTTGCACTTGCATGTCTATTTCCTCCACCAAATTAGGGAAGTGTTTTTTCATCATTCTTTCAGATAGGTTTCCAGTTTCTTGCTCTTTTTCTTTTCCTTCTGGCACTCCTATGAAGTGAATGTTGGGCCTCTTGAGGTTGTGCTAAAGGCTGCTGACACTATCTTTCTTTTTTTTTGCATTCTTTTTTCTTCTGTTCTGATTGGTTGCTTTTTGCTTTCTTCTGTTCCAAATTATTGATTTGATTCTCAGCTTCATCCACTCTACTGTTGTTTCCCTGTAAATTGTTCTTTATTTCAATTGGTATATCCTGTGTTTCTGGCTGGATCTTTTTTACGCTGCTGAGGTTCTGAGTTCCTTGATCATCCTTATAACCAGTGTTTTGAACTCTGCATCTAATAGATCGCTTATCTCCATTTTGTTTAGCTCTCTTTCTGGAGTTTTGATCTGTCCTTTCATTTGGGCCATGTTTCTTTATCTCCTCACTTTGGCAGCCACCCTGTGTGTGTTTGTATGTATTAAGTAGAGCTGCTTCGTCTTGCAAGTGTGTGGCCTTATGTAGCAGTACATGTCCTATAGGGCCCAGTGGCCCACAGCCCCCCTATCACCCAAGCTGTGTACTCAAGGTGCGCCCCTCATGTGGGCTGAGTACACCCTCCTCTTGTAGTTGAGCCTTGGTTTCTGGTTTCTGTTGGCAGATTCAATGGGAGGGATTTACCCAGGTGGGTCAGCTGCAAGGACTGGCTGTGACCACTTACCACCAACCTCTGCCCTCTGTGGAAGATCAGCTGTGCAGGAGCAGGGTGGTGGTGCTCCCCTGTGGTCTGTAGCTGTCCACTGGGCACGTTGGTCCTGGGGTTTCCTGTGTGGTGGAGGCCAAACTCAGCCCCCCACTGTGTTCTGCCTGAGGCCACCCTGCCTGAGTTATAAAGCAATCTGAGATGGCTGCTACTTGTGCTGTGCTTGAGATTCCCAGGTGAAGCCAAGCTGTGAATCTAGGCTTCTGCTAGTGCTGGGCCTGGGGCTTACTGAGGCCAGCTGCTGCTTGTTCAAGAGGATTTTGGAAGTTGTGAAGCATGAGCCAAGACCAGCCATTCATATGGAAAAGCAGCTTGGGTGGCCCTGTAAGTTGTCTGGGGCAGAGTCCCTGGGATCCCAAAGGTGGGTTAAACAGTGTTAGCCGGGGTGGCGGAGTCTCAGATGGGGCACCGTCTTGCCGACTCTGGGATGGGAGAAGGTTTAGAAGACGGACTCTGCTCACCTTGATACCAGACACTTCAGCACCCCCCTGCTTGCTACTGGTGCCCCTCAAGCTGCCTCTCTGTTGCCAGAGCTCAGGGGGAGTGAGTCTGAGTAGGTGAGTCTGTGTGTGGCTTCTGTAAGGGGAACCGCTTGGGGCTCCAGCAGTTTCTTCCACCTACTCAAACCCTGGTGGTTTTTGCAGCCAGAAGCTGTGGGGACGTGTCTTGCTGGTGCTAGAACCCTGCGCTGGGGGGGGGGCTTGCCTCTGAGATGTCCCTTCCAAGTTTTTATCCACCGAGTGTGGGGGTGGGACTAGCCTGTTCCACATCTTCGCCCCTCCTACCAGTCTGGATGGATGTTGTTTCTCTAATTCCGTAGTTGTCAGACTGCCATTCACCTGGATTTCTGTTGGTTCTGAGTGATGGTGGTTCTGTATTTTAGTTGTCATTTTGATGTGGTTGGGCAAAGAGGTGAGCCATGTCTGCCTGGGCTGCCATCTTGACTGGAAGTCTGATCCTAGTTTTATTTTCACTTGACTGTGACTTGGGGTAAGTTGCTAAACTTCTCCGTGTCTTAATTTCCTCATCTGCAAAATGGAGATTATGATAGTAAGTACTTCATAGGGTTATCACAGGGAATGAGTTAGTACTTGTAAAGTATTTAGTATTGTGATATGTATGTGTATCTCTCATGTTGAAAACATTAAATATGTTCTATTAACAGTAAAAATTTCATTCCATTATAGGAAAATTTTACACATTGTGTTTCAAAAGGACATTTGCTACACTTTGAACCCCCTCAAAAATTAAAAACCCAGAACAATCTGGTTGCCCATCCCTTGGGCTATTTTCACATATAATAAAGAATAACGGTCAGAAGACAACCAGGGGAAAGGAAGGTTTAGCAGACCCAAATTAGAGTAGCCCTCAGTGAATCCAGTTATTTTTCATTTGCTTTTTGGAAGCAGGTAACATGGTCATATTACATTATATTTTATGGTCTTTCCCATTATCAAGCTTGCTTTTATACATTTTGAAAAGAGCCTGCTGAGGCTTAGGGGTCTTGATTTGTCCTAAGTTACACAGGCTTTGGAGAGCTGGGACTAAGCTAAAACTGGGAAGTTCTGACTCCCTGAATGGTGTCCTTCTTTTATACGAGCAGGGGGTGCTGGGTACCCCACCGGTATTTTCACTGTGGTCCTGAGGCCATGCTGAGGTGCATCAAGTGGGAAGAACATAAGAATATTTTTGTATTTGCAGTCATGTATGTTGTGTGCAGTTTGGACTTGGGCATTTCTTAGAATTAAAAAATTTCTATTAAATGTAGTTTTCTCCTTGTTCCTATTAATAGCATTTTTAGCCTTGCATTGGCAGGCTAATAATATATCTCATTGAAGGGCACAGGGAAATAGAGTATTCTTTTGGGCCAGAATTTAAACACAAAACTTTTAGAGAAAAGTTGGAATCATAGAATTTTATTTTTGAAAGTGATTTTAGCATTTATTTCTACTTTGTGTCCTGCCTGTATTTAGGAAGCATTGTGTCAGGTACTGTGAGGTTCCTCAAGGAGCTTATAGTCAAGAGATGATACCTTGTATCAGACCAGGTACAGAGTTCAGTGTGGAGCAGCATTAAAGAAGGTTTCATTAAAGATGTGGTGTTAGAATTGGGCCTTCAAGGGTTGCAGGATTGGTACAGAGATAGAGTGATTAAGGATTCAGGAAAGAGGGCAGGTGTTAATGAAGGCAAGAAGTCTCTTAGGAAATGAATGGGCTTGAGAATCAGTGTCGAGTGTGTGTGATAGAGTTTAAAATGTGGAAGGGAAGACAGTGAGAAGTAGGAAAATAACACGAAGAACCCAGAAGTAAAAGGCAGAGTGATACTGAACTGGCCTTGCTAAGCTGTGGAGGGCCGGCAGTGGTTTTGGGGTTGAGTTGATGCACGGCTCCCTGGCCAGTATTGCAGCACGTCCGACATGGACTAGAGAGCCCACTCGTCTGTTTGAGTGACAGGCCTTGCTCTTCTGTAAGGGCCACGGGAGTCTGTGGGAAGGGTCCGAAAGTAGTTTGCTAGTTAGTGTTGGAACTTAGCTACAATAACATTGTGCTGGTAATGTGAATTCTGCCAGGAAGTAATCTTTGTAAGTAACAAGGACCAGTCAGGTTCCCAACATTTCTCGCCCTAAATGTTGTAAGATTTGAATCAACATAAATACATGCTAATGCACATCTTTTTTTGCAGGTGTTAGTAAAATGGCCTTCAGTCATTTAATTGAGTTCACATATACAGCAAAATTAATGATACAAGGAGAAGAGGAAGCCAATGATGTGTGGAAAGCAGCAGAGTTTCTGCAAATGCTAGAAGCTATCAAAGCCCTTGAAGTCAGGTAAGCACTCGGTTAACTGCATACTTACTAGTTGGACCAAGTGTAGCTTTGAGTTCTGAAGCACCTAGTGCAAAGAAAAAGGGAAAAACACTCAGCCATTTATTCACGGTTATAATTCGAGAACATATTCATTGCTTAAGAGCCATTCTTATGCACTTAGTATTAAAACGCAAAATTTCTCATATGAAGTATTAGGCATTAAAAGACTCCACTGTTTTTCCCTAGTGACTCAGAACAAGCGCACTCTGGAGTCAAGCTGCCTGGGTACCATCCCAGCTCCACCACCGCGCGTGTGTGTGTGTGTGTGTGTGTGTGTGTGTGTGTGTGATGAGAGAGAGAGAGAGAGATGAAGTTAGCCTCTTGTCAGCAGCTCAGTCTCCTGATCTGTCAAATGGGAATAATAGTGGTACTTCTAAGTAAGGTTATTTGTAAGGGTTAAATGAGTTGATGTATGTAAAGAGCTTAGCACGGTGTCTGGCTACTACGGTCCTGTGAGATGTGAACTGCTGTAGTCTCCCAGCTCTGTTTCTTATGGTGGTCCTCTGTGTGGGCTGTTGGCATCACGTTAAAGGGAAGTTTGGTAAAATCAGTTTTGTGGGGGACAAAGTAATTTGGTCCAGCTCATTGATGTGGTTTAGTCTAAAGATATGATTTAGAATAACTCTAAAAAAATCATTGAACTGCAGTTGTTCATAAATATCATTTATTATCATGAGCAGTGATTAGTTTGGTGACAGTTGAAGATTAAACTTTTCTGACCGAGGGTAGTGTGTCCGTACTCTCTGCTGCCGCGTGCCTGGCCCACAGGTGTGTAGCAAGCGTGCGTCAGTGGGTGGCTGGGTGTGTGCTGATTACGGGCCGACCATTACTCTGAGGGGGGAGCTGGGACGTGGGTGGTGGGACAGGTCTCATCTTCTCAAAGTGGGCAGGCTGGGGGCGGTGTATGGCGGTATTTAGATATATGGCTCTCTCTATATGGCAATCCCAAATTTGTGGTGCAGTCTTCGATGAGAATGTCCTGGGAAAGTGTTCATTCTGTGTGGTCCCTTTGCTGTACATGGCAGGGAGCGACACCTCCCTGTAGAGGAAGCCCTCAGTGGCAGAACAGCGGAGTGCACTCTAGGTTGGGTTTGGGAGGCGTTTAACTGGGTGCTCGTGAATAGTCGTTGGGAGTGGAGGTGAGCACAACTGGCCACGGCTGTTTTCCTAGGCCTATTCAGAACCTTTGGATGACTTATTAATATAAGACTGGAGTTCTTGTAGTTATCACAGTCATTGGTACTTCTCTGTTTAAATACAGTCACAGGTCGAATGTTTCTTGAACCAGGTAGGCATGCATTATCCTCTGAAGAGTTTTTTTTGGAAATAAGACAAAGTATTACATATTGGCTGTTTATAATAATAAAATTTAGGAATACAATTTTAGAGTTATGGTTAAATCAACTAAGGCAGCTCTTTATTGAGAAGATTATAACTTTCAGATACTGAAGGTGAATAAGGTTTTTTTTTTTCACATTTGCAGTATGTGAGTATTTTTTAAATACAAGGTAAACTTTTTGAATGACTAGGGCTTTGTTTTGCTTTGTTGGAATTGCATCATTATTTATTTTAATGAGAAGGTTGCTGTTATTGGTCAGAAAAGCAGCAGTTGCCTTACAGATTTTCCCTCCCCGGCTCAGTGAGGTATAATTTACATGCCGTGTAATTGGCACATCTTCAGTGCGGAGCTCTGAATTCCTTCAGCTGGGCACAGTGGTGTGACCACCCCCACAGTGGAGACATGGGAGCGTGTTCAGCACCCCAACTTTCCTCCTGACTCTGCAGTGGAGCCGGACCACTAGCCTCAGGCAGCTGCAGATCCAGCGTCGTGTGAATGGATGCTGTCGTTGCACAGACTTTCAGGTTTGACTGTTTGCACTCTGCATTACGTTTTAGAGAGCGTTTCGTGCGGCGGGTGGTAGTGTCTGTGCCGCCTTATTGCTGGGTCCTGTCGCAGCTGTGCAGGTGCACCGCCTATCGATGACGCTGAGGTTGTCTCCAGGTTCTGGCGTTTACAGATGAAGTGGCTGTGACATTTGTGCGCGGTTCTTTGGGTGTGTGTTTTCATTTTTCTCAGTAACGCCCAGGAGTGGAGCACCTGGGTTGTATGGTAGCTGTGTTTAATTATTTTAGAAGTGCCACAGTGTCTTCCAGAGTGCTGTGCCACTTCACGTTCCAGCCTGCAGTGTGTGAGCTGCGGCCGCTCTGCGGCCCTGCTCCTAGTCCATGGTGTGGTAATGCAGGGACACGAGGCTCTGGCCTGCTGGCCGGGTTGTGTGCCGTGGTTGTGATCTGCATTTCCCCAGAGACCAATGATGTTGAGCTTGTGTGTGTGCGCTTTTTTACTATCTCTTTATCTTTTGGTGAGATGTCTGCATCTTTTGCCCATTTTTAAAATTGGGTGTTTGTCAAGAACTGTGAAGGGTCTGAGATTTTATCCTATTTGCAAGCTAAGTTTTTTGGATTCTGCCAAAAGACTTGAGACTCCCGAGTCAGAGAGAAGGACTTTATTTCTCTCACAGCATGAACCTCACATCTGTATCAATTTTTCTTTCCCCTGCCCCCACATTCCACAGGGGTGACATAGTGACCTAAGTGTGTGCTAGACTCACAGTGGTTTGTGCCACAGTTGAGAGCGTTAAGAAACCCAGAGCTTCTGTAATAAGCTGCAAGCAGACCTGCCCAGCCTCTGCCCCAGAGGGTCGCTGCCCTCCACCCCGTCAGTCGGCGAAGCTGCCCTCCCCTGTGGAGGAAGACAGCCTCTGTCTCCTGTCTTCCGAGGCTGTGTGCTATATGTACCAGCGCCCTTGAAATGATGCTGCAGAACAACAGGCTGTCAGTGTCTTTGTTCGCAAGGCACGGGAAACATCAGGGATCCTTGCGGAATTGACTGCCAGCAGTGTCCTTGTTTCTCCATTAATTCAGCTGCTGGTGAATTTTCCCATGGGTGTACCACTCCGGGACCTCATGCATTCAACTCCTCTCACACTGGACTGTCAGCTGTCAGTCCAGAGCTGCAACTGTCAACAGAACTGCAGACGGCAGGGTGTGGCCACACTGGGCTTGACCTTGCACCTGTTCTCCTAAAGTCTGAACTCAGCCAGCCAAGCAAGTCCCTGGAAAGCCAGGTGGCTCTCTCCTGGAGTTTCTGGATTGAGCTTTCAACTTAGCCCTACACATTAATCTAAGAATAGCAAGATGTTTTAGCGATTGCACAGTCTGCATAGTGGCCTCTGGGGAGGAAGTCAAAGGCAAGTCCGTCATCTTGAGTAACACTGGCCAGTGACCGAGGCCAGCACAAGGGCCTTCCAGAGCCTGCGTGGTGCCATTGATCGCATTGACTTACGTCGAGCACAGAGTTCGTACCTCCTTTTTGTTTGGGTGACTCCCGTTACGGGGGAAACTGCTTGTGGCGCATGCATAGATGACAAGTCAGTTGGGACTCCAGAGAGCTCCCCCAGGTAACCCCAGAGTGGGACCTTCATCAGTCAGAGGCAGGTGGACGTGGCCTCCAGGGTGGCCTCCCCTCTCTGGGCTCAGTTAGAATGACTGGATCTAGACCTTGTTTTGGAGGGACTGTACATAGGTGGCCGGGTCAGTGCCCTGTTCGTCACCCGAATGTCCGCTGGGTGGCAGTCAATCATTGATCTTGCAGATTGAGCCTCGGCTCTGGGAATGGTAGTGGGACAAACCTCTGGAGCTTCACGTGGGCCAGGCAGGAGCTGGGCCACCCCCCTGCTGTTCCAGGAAACTTCTTGGTGAAGTTGAGGGAACCAGTGCTCAGACTGCAGTCAGAGCTCGCAGCGGCAGACGGTACATCCGGCAGACAATTTCAAACTCTTGCTGCGGTCGGGGAGAGCCGCACCAGCATTTTCCCACCTGAGGAAAGGCCTGGCACTTCTGAAGGACAGAGACTGTTCATGTCCCTTCGTCCCTGCCCCCTGGAGTCTGAGATGTTCTCTCCCTGGTGCCAGGGTTGTTGCTTTCCTGCCCCTGCACAGCGCTGGCGTGCGCCCTGCCAGCAGCCACAGCTTCATCTCTGTTCCAGGCATCTCTTCCCACCCAGACCTCTCCCCCCTAATGGCCAGGGCAGAGGCGTCTTTATAAAACTTAGAGACCAACTGTGTCTCCCCCTTTGGCCCACGGGGACCAGCAAGTAAGTATACTTGGCAGGCAGTATATTCAGTGAAATGGTCGTCATTGTTAGGATCTCGGCTGATGCCAGGTCATGAAGGGGATCCAGGCGGCTGAACCAGAATAAAGTTTGAACTGCTAGGCCTGCTTCTGACCAGGCTCCTGCCTGGAAGGGGCACCGACCTAGGCTGTGCCGGGGTTGCCACTGCGGGCAAGAGAAGGATCGTGTTTAAGAATGGGCGGGCAGAATCCTAAATTTCCAAGTGAGTTTATACAGCTTCCCACCTTTTCTGTCTTGACCATTACCGAGGAAGCACCCGAGAAGAGATGGTCTCTTTCTGGGGACAGCTGAGTGTAGCGACCAGACTGTTGACTCAGGTATTTGCACAAGGAGGAGGTGGGGGAGATAGAGTCAGAAGTCCCAGGAACGTTTGGGGACAGCGCCTGGTGCGAAGGGGCCTTCTTCACCATGAGGCCGACAGGCCAGCCTTAGGCAGCTACAGGTTGGTGTTTGTGGCGGTAGATGCGTAACCAGTTCAGAAACGCCAGTTGCAGGTGTCGGTGGTGGAAGCCTGGCGGGGCAGCTCCGGAAGCAGCGCGGCTCTGACTGGTGTCGTTGGAGAGCAGGCCCTTCAAGGGCCTCTGAGCCAGTGACCTGGGAAGTCGGGTCAGCCGGTGTTGCTCGTTTCTGTGGTCATGGACCAATGACAGGTGTCTCGAATCTGCCAAGACTTCCAGGTCTTTCGGTTAGCTAGGCTATCGGCAGCAGTGCAGGTCAGTAAAAATAACGTGGAGGATGTTGTCCAGAGCTGTGGCGACAGCCTCGAGCTCTGCCCCTGTAGAGCAACCTCATCCACGTCTGCTCTTTGCGTCGTTGGTGCTCAGGTTGAAATTTGCAGTAGCCAGTGAGCACCATCAGCCCTCAGCTTAGCTGAACTGTCAGCAAGTCAAGCCCCCTCTACCCCATGGGTTCGTTTGGGCATCGGAGTGAGGGCGATACCCCTTTCTCACGTCACAGCCAGGAGGCCAGCTGTTCCTCTGACTACACTGTTGTGTTGGTGCACTCCCAGTGGCAGTGTCAGGCCAGGGGCCCTCGAAGTCTCTGTTAGGCATCGGTTTCAACAGGAGCCCAACAGGCTAGTCCTTTCTCATCAAAGGGAGCGCACCTGGGAGCTGCGTTAGAGAATTGGCAAGTCTGAAATCTAGGGAACACCTTTGAGTGCAGGCGCCCCCTTTTGCCAGAAGCTCTGATGTGCAGATGCAGCCATCTCAGAGACCTGCAGCCCACAGAGGGGTTCGGGTTGTGGGGCTCCAGGGGTAGAAAATGTACCGCAGCTTGATGGACAGCTGCCAGTGCAGCCTGTCGGCTGGAGTCCCCCTAAACTATGCTGGTCTGCAGACTAACTGCCGTGGAGAAGAAAGGAGAGTGCCTAAGGAGGGCAAATATGTTCCCACACCCAGATGTCGGTGCGTGCTGGGCCTTGTTTCTGGTGGAGAGGAGGAGCAGTTTTTCTTTTATTGCTAGAGGGTTTGAGTGTTGTGAGTCCAGCTGCATAGCCCCCAAAACGTGATGTGATGGGCAGGCCCTGGCTTCGTGGAGCCCCTACTGGTCTGGTGGAAGTGCCGGTGGCGCTGTGGGCAGAGCCTTGGCCAGTGCGGCTTCCTGCTGGCCAGTCAGCCGGGTGGCATCAGTAGAGTGTAAAGTGCAGACAGCATAAGACAGGACACTTGTGCCTGGTTCTGACCCTGCTACTGGTGGCCGGTGGCAGGGGAGGTGGTGCCAGTAGCTCTTTTGTACATGCGGCTCCTTCCAGTCGGGGTGATCCACTTCGGGTGCTTAGAGGAAGGGGAAGCGCAAATGCTGCTGTACATTCAGATGTCAAGGCAACGGCAGCGTATAGAGTCAGTCCCTCCCACGGGGTCTGGACAGCCCCCAGCCACTGTGAGCCTTGCTCAGACCCCAACAGTCCAACCTGAGCTTCTCCTCTCCATGGAACCTGATGGGGTGGCGAGTTAAACACCTGAGTCTAGCAGAGCCCTGAAATTGTGAGTCCCTATCATTGCTGAGTTTCTGTCAGTGTTCTGGGACAGGTATATGGAGTCTCCTCTGTGTGCCCGTGGGAACCTGGAGACCTTGGCTCCACCCCTAACTGTCCTCCCAAGCAGGTGAAGTCAAGGGAGAGGGGCCGGGAAGGGGAAGGCAGAAGAGGAGGAGGTGTGGAGGGAGAGCAGGGCTGCAGTGACGGAGGCACGGCTGCTGCGGCTGCAGCCTGTGCCGGAGCCGCACGCACGGAGCTCCCGCAGCAGACACCCCTGCACTGTTTGCAGCCCACCCAGAGCCCGGGTCAGGCTCCCTGAGCTTCACTCCTTTTGGCTCACTCGGACTGGACCTGCCCAGTGGGGGCTTTTTGAAGCTGTCCCTGGATTGTGGGCGTGTGCTGCCCCGTTGTCATGGTGGCATCTTAGGCTTTTGCCCGGTTGCACATAAAGGTTGGGGGCTTGTCAACGGGCTTGATCCCAGAAATTTACGTTGTCTGGGATTCTTTTTTCATTCCCCAGTGACTCATGTTCATCAGCCTGTAAACCCAACTAGGCAGGAAATCTCTTACTAGTGAAGGTCTCATTATAGGAGTGTGTTTCCTCAAGAGCCCCAGAGCACTCTTAGGGCAGCCAGGATGGACCTACTGCAAAAACTCAGACCTTTTATGGTTATCTCCAAGTGGTTCTAAGGTGGCCATGGCGGACGGCAGGCTGCAGGAGGGGCTGAGCCCGGAGGTGGCCCCCATGCACCGGTCTTCCTGAATAAGCCTCACAGTGCCCCTCATCTCCATCCGGGTGGGCCCGTGCAGCGCTCCGAGTGACCCCGCTGGGTTCTGGGAGTAGCGCTGTGAACTTCTTCTGTCACACTTGCTCTGTGTGAGTGTCATAGTAACTCGTCTGCGAAGGGACGAAATCTTCTGTCTCCACACCCTCACCATGGACATTAGCAGTCATGCAGATATTAGGGTTAGTTGTTAGGATGGGGTGGGCTTCCGGCTGCACCACAGCTTGGCTGGGAAGCCCTCCCCCACCCCCATATCTCAGGAGAGTTGTACAACCAGGCACCTGTCTGCAGGTATCCTTGAACTTGCTGCCCAGCACTCACCCTGCGACCACCTTCCCACTTTTCCTCATTGGGAGTTGTTTCCTTTACGGGGTTGCTGTAACAGAGTATCGCCTAACAGAGTATCGCCTAACAGAGTATCGCCTGCGTGGCTCAACAGCAGAAATTTACATCTCACAGTTCTCCAGGCTGGAAGTTCTACATCAAGGTGAAGGCAGAGCCATGTTTTTCAAAAGCCTCTAGAGGGCGAGGGTAGCCCTGCCCTTCCTAGCTTTTTGGTGTATGATGTAAGGATAACAGTTACAGCTTGCTTTTCCTATATAGATAACAAGCACCACATTAAAAAGATGTTTTTTTCTCTTTTTAAAATATTTATTTATTTTTAGAGACAGGTGAAAGGAGGGGAAAAAGGAGAGAAACGTCAGTGTGTGGGAGCCTCTCCCACGCCCCCTGCTGGTGATCTGGCCCACAGCCCAGGCTTGTGTCCTGACTGGGAATCAAACTGGCCACCCTTTAGTGCGCAGGCTGGTGCTCAGGCCACTGAGCCACACCAGCCAGGGCAGGTCTCCCTTATTAAATCACCTTGGAACCCTTTGTCCAAAGCCACTTGGCCGGGTCACATGTGAGTCTGTCTCTGTTCCACTAACCCACGCATGTCCTGTCACCGATGTCACACCTCCTGACTCACTGCGCGTGTCTGTCAGTCCGGAGTTGGGTAGTGTGAGCCCTCCAGCCTTCCTTCCTACCTCTCCATGTGAATTTAGGGGTCAGGTAATCAGTTTTTCCAAAAAAGCCTACTGGGGTTTTGATCGATCAGACCAGTTTTTGAATTTGTAATTATATATTTCAGGAACAAAGAAAACGCCACTCCGCTGGAGGAACCTACCACAGGAAAAAGTGAGGCCAAAAAAAGAAAGATCGCAGAAACTTCAAACGTCATCACTGAGTCATTGCCATCTGTGGAATCGGAGCCCGTTGAAATCGAGGTGGAGATCACGGAAGGCACCATCGAAGTGGAAGAGGAAGGCGTGGAGACGCTGGAGGAGGCCGAGGCTTCTGCCAAGCAGACGGTGGAGTACGTTCAGAGCGTGTCTTCCTCTGACGATTCCGCTCTGGCCCTGCTGGCGGATATTACCAGCAAGTACCGCCAAGGGGACAGGAAAGGGCAGGTGAAAGAAGACGGCTGTGCATCTGACCCCACAAGCAAACAGGTAGAAGGTATTGAAATTGTGGAACTTCAGCTGTCACATGTGAAGGACTTGTTCCATTGTGAGAAATGTAACCGTTCATTTAAATTGTTTTACCATTTTAAGGAGCACATGAAATCACACTCCACTGAGAGTTTCAAGTGTGAAATATGCAATAAAAGGTACCTCCGGGAGAGCGCCTGGAAACAGCACCTCAGTTGCTACCACCTTGAGGAAGGTGGGGTCAGTAAGAAGCAAAGGACTGGGAAAAAAATTCACATATGTCAGTACTGTGAGAAACAGTTTGACCACTTCGGACATTTTAAAGAGCATCTTCGAAAACATACAGGTAATCAGCATATACCTTACAGTGAAAGTATGTTTTTCCCACACCGCTCCAAGCCGGAATGGCTAAGTCCTTTTTTATTAGCGCCGCAGAAACCACCTCTGGTGTTTTCTAACGAGCAGTCTGCGTGCACAGTTTGTACGACGTTATTTGTTGAAGTACTGATGCTTTGGAAGCAGCGTCAGGATCAAATTTGAAAATAGTTGTCACTCTTGCATCTTGCCAGTTTTTTATATTTTTAAAAGAAATATGTGAAGTATGGTTTGCGATTATTTCCTGAGGGTCGTAAGTCATGACATTTTAATTAGGGCGAAACTTGGCTGGCTGCTTTAGATTTCCTGTCTTGTGTTATTATGGAGATGAGTGCAGTTATAGACAGTCCTGGTTTGTGCCTGCGTGTACGGTGGTCGTCTGTTTCGGCCTGCTAGATGGGTGGGCGTTGTGCGTGCACCTCTGCCCACCGCTCCCTGGGCAGGCGTGAGGCGATGGTCAGCGGGGGCACGAGAAGGGTGAGGTCTCCATCGAGGATCCCTCACGGGCACGAGGGAGCGGTCCCAGGGACTCCACCGCAGGGCGTGCGGCCCTCACGGCTCTGCCTCCACCCCTGTGCCTGTCTTTTTCACTGTCAGCTTCCCTGTCCTTGTTCCCACTCCTTAAGCATTCTTTGCAAGTTCTCCTGTTCGGACACAGGAGCTACCACCAATTGCTTGAATGTTGGGGAGTCCCTGAACCCCCTAAACAAAGGTGTGGGGGGAGCAGTGAGCTCAGTGTCAGGCGTCTGGACCCTGGTTTTCCAGTCCTCCTTGTGCTGGTCGTGAAGCCGTGCACCCTGTTAATACTGCAAACACAGGAGAGCTGTCCCACACTGTCCAGAGTCTTTCTATCCGATGCTGGAGGTGGGATAACTTTTTTAAAAAAATGTTTTACTTATTTGTTTTTAGAGGGAGAGGGAGGGAGAAAAGAGAAATATTAATCAGTTGCCTCTTGCCTGACCCCAGTTGAGGACCTGACCCACAAACCAGGCGTGTGCCCCGACTAGGGATTGAACTGGCGACCTTTCCGTTTTTAGAACAACGCCCAACCATGGAGCCACACCAGTCAGGGCGAGTTTGGAGAACTTTGGGTGAAATATTTTAGTAGAGCCTTCACTGGTCAGAGTCGTTTGCCACACAGTGCTTGACACTGAGAAGCCAGATAGATCCAAATAACGTGGTATCCCTTACTCTTCAGACACTTGGCCGTACTCAGGAACTGCATAAACAGGCAGATAGCAAGAGAACCTCAAATTGGGTTGGCCAAAAGTCCATTTAGTTTTTCCGTAAAATAAAAGGCACATTTTTTATTTTTACTTCATTGGTTTGGGTATTTTGAGTATGTCAGCTCTCTCTCACCGTTGGCTTCTAGTGGGTAGAGGGCAGGGGCGCTGCTGAGCACCTTCCAGGGCGTAAGACAGCCCCACAGCAGAGAGTTATTTGGCCAAAATTCAGTAGTGGCAAGAAACTTCGCAAACCACTTTTGGCACGTTTGATTCATCATAGCACCTTCTCCATACACTGCAGTCTTTTGTTGTGTTTTCAACTTTCTCGAAATAAAAAAGCATAACATGCCGAAAATGTTGGGTATCTCCTTCCGTCTTCAGTATTAAAATGGCTGCACAGAAATTCACCAGGTTCGATGTTTTTGTGGTTTTTTTTAATGCTGGCTGATATGACAGCTGTCACAGTGCAGTCTAACAAATGGTTCTGATTGAGGTTAAGACAATTAAGCACTGCTAGAGCCATCCCACGGAAAAAAACCATACAACCCAGTACTTACGGCTCAGTATGGATTTAAGAGGCGTTTTATTTTTTTTCTCTTTTTAAATTATAGTTGGTATTAAATACCGTATCAGTTTCAGGCGTACAGCACAGCGGTTAGACATACATACATACTTTACAGTGAGTCCCCCAAAGTCCTAGCGCCCTGCTGGCACCGCACACAGTTACTGCGGCAATGTCCACTCCACTCCCTGTGACCGCTCCATCACTGCCCATCTGCTCTCCGAGATCCCACCGCCTTTCTCACCAGTCTCCCAGCTCCCTCCCACTGGCAGCCATCAGTCTAGTCTGTGCTCTGTCTGTGTGACTTTCTGTTCTGTTTGCTAGTTTATTTTGTTCTTTTTGGTCCGCCTGTGAGTGACGTGGTGTTTGTCCTTCTCTGACTTACTGAGCATACTGCTCTCTGGGCCCCTCAGTGCTGTCGTAGGTGGTGAGATTTTGTTCTTTGTGGCCGTGTGAGGTGCACGGCTGCCTTGTTGCGCAGGTGCCCGCTGATGGCCCCTTAGGTTGCCTCCATAGCTGCGTCACTGTGAGAAATGCTGGTTCCGTGTGCACTTAACAAGAACGTATGTTCTGATTTGGGGTGAAATGCTCCAAAAATGCCAGATTCTTCTCATCTAGTGTGTCATTCCAGGCTGCCGTCTCCTTGTTGATTTTCAGTCTGGAAGGTCTACCCATTTGTGTCTGCGGGCGTTCATGTCCCCAGCTGTGACTGCATGGACGTTGTGTTCTCCTTTCTGTGCACGCGCTTTTCACCTGGCGAGGTGCGCCCATCTCGGGTGCCTAAGTGTTTGCCGGGTTACGTCATTTCGTTCTTCTGTTCCCGTTGTCAGGCAGTGTCCTCCTTTGTCTCCTGTTACAGGCTTTGTTTTAAAATCCATTTTCTCTGCTCTAAGGCCATACCAGCCTGAGTGCACCCAATCTGGTCTGATCTCAAAAGTGAAAGTCTGTTTTGTCTGATGCAAGTTGCTACCCAAGCTTTGTGTTTTTTATTTTCCCGTTTGCATGAAACATCTTCTCTGTGTCTGTACTTTCACTTTGAGTCGGCTTTTCATCTGCGGTGAGTCTCTCGTAGGCAGCATATATCCGAGTCTTGTTTTCTTAGTCATTCAGCTGCCCTGTGTCTTGATTGGAGCATTTAATCCATTTTACAGTTAAAGTGATTATTGATAGGTATGTAGTTACTGCCATTATTCATCTTATTATTCATATTTATGGGGGGTTCTGGAAGAAGTCCCTTTAACATTTTTTGTAATACTGATATGGTGGTGATGAACTCTGTTAATCTTTTTTCTGGTCTGGGATAAAAGACTTTAGGGTACTAATTTGGGTAATTAATAGGTATTTATGCAATCTTTGGGGGGGAAATGCTTTCTTGTTTTCAAACATTATGTGTATATATACCTGTTATATGTTTGGAAACTGACTATCATTATCGGTTCTTTAAAATACTCCTCTTTTTAATCATCTATTGGTGAAACATTTTTGTGGTAACTGGAGTCATTTAGCAAAAAAATCGACATATCAAAAGCACATTGAATTAGCACAAAAACATAACTTGGTAACCAGCCTGCTTTGGTAGGGGTTCCCGTTCTGGGACAGATCATCACTTGTACGTTGTGTCCTGGTGGTATGAAAGTGGAAGTAGTCCTCTTTCACTGAAGACATTACCTAGTGACTAACCTGTTTGAAAATAAGATGACAGGTCGTTTTGGGCGTTTTGCAGTGTGCTTTCCAAGTCCCATACTTTGTGTTTTGGGTGGAACAGTAGAACGTAGAGCTGAAGGACCTTGTTGAATATCTTTGTTCTTCCAAAGTGATGCCGGGTGACTTTAGTTGTTAGAGAACCAGATGCCCATTGGAGGAACAGTTTAGCAAGCGTGTAAAGCAAACTGGACCTGGTTGTCTTTTTAACCTCAATTACTCCACTAATAATTAGTGATAAGTAGTTGTAGGTGTGATTGGTTAGCTGGTGAATCAAGAGGGAGCATAAGTAAACATGCTTAAATTATTTGTATTAATAAAGGATCGCTTGTTTTTCTCACAACAAACTAAGTTTAAACCTAAGAAAACAATCCTTTTCCTGTTTTCTACCATCAAGATAATGCCCCCATTGGTTTTCTATTTTGCATAATAGTGTAGTGATTTGGTTTCATGTATATTCTTGAAGCATGTGCTATGCTCTGTGGCTTGATTTGTAAAACTTGGGCTGTTTGTCCTCTGAATTTTTTTGTTTCCATTTGAAAAATAGTAATGATAGTGCCAACCTGCTAGGTCATGGAAATAAAGAAATTTTGGATTTCCTGCCTCCAGGGCACAGTCAGTGGGTTGGTCCCAGTGCGGATGGAGGTGAGCCCGGGGTCTCAGGGGAATGCCTGCCTGGGCTCCTTTTTTACGATGGGGGAGACAGTGTGGCTTCCCAGAGGCTGCAGGAGCTGGCCAGGCGCTGAGCATCCCAGGAAATGCCGTGAAGCACACACAGGCATGGACAAGTGGGGAAGCAGCTTGTTATGACCTCAACTAGAGGGTTATTACGGCTCGAGGACTGGGCCCCAGTGAAGGGAGGCCAGGAGATGCAGCTCACGGGTCAGGATGGCTGGGACGTGGTGTGCGCTCAAGCAGGCACCGCGCGGGCTGTCCCGCTGGAGTGCGGCTCAGGAGACAGGAGGCAGTGGGAGGGGAGGCTAAGAGCATGTGGTTGTGTTTTCCTGACGGCTGCAGATGAGTTCGGATTATATCTTGGGAAGGCTCTGGGTCATTTTAAAGAAGTTTAAGCTAGGAAAATATCTCTTCAGACGGATGTTTTAGAGAGATGCCTGGCAGGATGGGTTGGGGTGGTAAAACCTTCTAGTTCTTGTTAGGAAGCTTTCGGCGTGAAGGGGCTGAGTAGAGGCAGTGATGGCGGCAGTGTATCGGTGATGTGCAGAACTGGCAGGATTTGGTGATCGGTGGGGGTGAGGGTGACACCCAGCTTTCCGATTCAGGTGGCTGCCTGACTGGAAGCTGATTCGCCTCAAAAAGTAGAGAAGGGTGAGCGCTTTGCGGGTGGGGAGACATCAAGAGAGGTGCAGCTGTGGGACACCAGTGTGAAAGGGGACCGGAAGGGGACCTCTGACCCACGTTTTCGAGTAGTTGTGTCTGGGCCTCCCAGAGTGCTAGTGTGCAGTCACGGGGACAGCGGGTCTGGGGGCTGGAGCCGGATCCCTGCTCCAGTTCTGGCTGTGGCCACCTCGAGGACCTTGACGGGCCACTTGTCCTTGGGCCGCGCCTTGTCTGCGTGAATGGGGTAACGATACCTGCTTCACAGGGCTGTCTGCGGCAAGTAAGAGAACACAACAGAAGCACTCTGAACACTGCTGTCCACACAGCTAAAACATAATTAACCGGTTGCTACTTTTAGATTTTACTGGGCCTGTTAGACTGACTTTTTAAATAGTCACAGCGAGTGCTCAGGTGACCTCCGATGTGCACTGCCCCTCCTCCGTCAGCAGCCCTCTGCAGGGGTCGCGGCCGCTCCCATGCTCTCCCCCATCCTATCGCAGGAGTCTCTGCGTTCCCAGGTAACCGCAGAGAGAGACAGGGCTGGAAAGAAGACAGGCAGGAGCCGGCAGGGCAGTGCGGTTTGATCGTTCCCGAGCTCTGCTGCACAGAGAGCGTTCGCCAATCTACTCCTTTGTCTCCCTGTGCGCCCCGGCGCTTGGTGTGTGAGTGTGCAGCACTTCACCGCTCCTGCTGCTACACGTGTAGGTTGATCCTAGTCTTCTTTTTAAAGATATTATTTATTATTAAATTTTTAAATTTATTTTCAGAGGGAAGGGAGGGAGAAAAAGGGAGAGAAACATCAGTTGCTTCTCGTACACACACTGACTGGGGACCAGACCCACGACCCAGACGTGTGCCCTGACCAGGCACCAAACTGGTGACCTTCCGCTTTGCAGGACAGCACCCAGCCCACTGAGCCACGCCTGTCAGGGCTGTTCCTGGTCTTCTACTGTTGCAAACTATGCAGCAGTAAGTGTACTTGCACACAGATCTCATGCTCACACAATTGGATTTTTCAGACCTGAGACCTGATCCCACTCTGATGTCTCCTCCAAGACCGTGTTCATCCGTCATCTGGACCGCTTCTCTCCTCTTCCACAGGCTCCTTCTCAACGAGGAGACACATGGTGACTCTTCCGGCTCAGCACCTCTCATGGACTTGTCCCCTCCTAGCCACCCCTGGTCTTTACTTCCAAGCCTCCTCGAAAGGAGTTTTCCGTACCGATTTCCGCTGACTTGCCTCTCACTGGCCGGCCCCGTCCCACTGCGGTCCGGCTCCTGGTGCCGCACGCTGCGCCCGCGGCCGTTCTTGCTGGGGTGTGACAGCCGCGTGTCACCTGCCTGGCGCTGGCTCGGCGCTCTTTCCTGTAGTCGCCTTCTTTGCAGGCGACTGTGTTTTCTTCTGCTTCTGGTGGTTCTCTTTCTGTTTCCTTTGCTGCCTCATCAGCTGCTGTTTTTAACTTGGTATTTCCCTGGGTTCCGTCTTGGCTTCTGCCACCACGTAACGCACTGAGAGTTTCGTCCCCATCACAGGCTTTCCTACCACCTGCAGCACTTCTGTTCTGTCAGTCCACCTCCTGTTCGGCTCCAGACTTGTTGTGCAGCTGTCGGCCCGACTTTCCAGTTGGCTCTGAGTTCCTCGAACTCGACGGACGCAGCGCTGAGTTGATAGTCTTTCCCAGCACCCCCCACGCCAGACCTACTTGGACTCCCCTGTCCTTCATTGTGGTTGATAGGCCAGGCCAGAGACCTGAGAGCCATCACTGACACCTCCCTCTTTTCCTGTCTGCCCTTCTCTCGTCCCGTTGCAGGCGGCCCTGACCACGGTCCTCTCCGTGCTCCCCCCTCCTCGCTGCCCGCTGTCCGGCCGCCTCCAGGGCATTGTGGTGGTTGGTTTTCATGTCCTTCGTTTCCATGAAATACCCCTGGCCTGTGATAGGAAGTATTTAAAAACAAGGACAATTTATTAATCTTCATCACATTGCATGTGGTCTGGCACATAGGAAGTGCTCAGAAATGCTTGTGGGGTGGTGCATTTCCCCAGCATAGAGATTGGTCTTAATTTTTATCTAAGGGAAAGTAGACAGTTTTTTTTTAAATTAATTATGCCATTACATTTGTTCTATTCCCCCCTCCATTCCCCTCCATCCTGCACACCCCTCCCCCACCATTCCCCCCCTTTAGTTCATGAACACGTGTCTCAGGTTCTTTAGATTCTGTATTTCCCCTACTATTCTTACCCTCTCCCCCATCTATTTTCTATCTACTGTCTATGCTACTTATTTTCTGTACCTTCTCCCCCCTTTTCCTTCTCCCACTCCCCTGTTGCTAACCCTCCATGTGATCTTCATTTCTATGGTTCTGCTGCTGATCTAGCTGTCCTCTTAGTTTGCTTTTGTTTTAGGTGTGGTGGTTAATAACTGTGAGTTTGCTGTCCTTTCACTGTTCATCTTTTATATTTTCTTTTTCTTAGGTAAGTCCCTTTAACATTTCATATAATAAGGGCTTGGTGATGATGAACCTCTTGAATTTGGTCTTATCTGAGAAGCACTTTATCTGTCCTTCCATTCTAAATGAAAACTTTGCTGGATAGAGCAATCTTGGTTGTGGTCTTTGAATTTCATGACTTGGAATACCTCTTTCCAGCCCCTTCTTGCCTGTAAGGTCTCTTTTGAGAAATCCACTGACAGTCTGATGGGAACTCCTTTGTAGGTGACTGTCCCCTTAGCTCTTGCTGCTTCTAGAATTCTCTCTTTCATTTTAATCTTGGCTAACGTAATGATGATGTGCCTTGGTGTGTTCCTTCTTGGGTCCAACTTCTTTGGGACTCTCTGAGCTTCCTGGATTTCCTGGAAGTCTATTTCCTTTGCCAGAATGGGGAAGTTCTCTTTTATTATTTGTTCAAATAAGGTTTCCACTTATGACTGTTCCTCTTCCACTTCTGGTACCCCTATAATTCGAATGTTGGAACGTTTAAAGATGTCCTGGAGGTTCCTAAGCCTCTCCTCATTTTTTTAAATTCTTGTTTCTTCATTCTTTTCTGTTTGGTTATTTTTTCCTTCCTTCTGGTCTGCTCCCTTGATTTGAGTCCCAGTTTCCTTTCCATTACTATTGGTTTCCTGTGCATCACCATTCATTTCAATTAGTTTAGCTTTCATATGTTTCTCTAATTTGTGACTAAAATCAACCAGTTCTGTGAGGATCCTGATCAGCAGTGTTTTGAACTGTGCATCTGAAAGTTTGGCTATTTCTTCATCACTGAGATTTATCGGCTCTGGGGCTCTGAGTTGTTCTTGAGCCATGTTTTTATCTGTTTGTGCCTGTTACGTATGAGGAGCGGAGCCTTAGTTGTTTACCAGGGCAGGGCCACCCAGGTCACTGGTTTGTGACGCTGTATGTGGGGGCGGGGTCAGAGAGGGAGCAATGGCGGTCCTCTCCACTCACCCAGTCTGTCCCACCGCTGGCCCCCCGCCTGTTTATCTGAGTGGAAGTGTGCAAGCCCATCGCCCTGCGCCATGCGGTCTCAATGCTCGCCTCTTCACTGGTTTATCTGCACGCAAATGCTCGACCGACTGCAGACAGCCAGCTGCGCCTCTTCCCTGAGTCCGCCGTAGCTAGCCTGCACCTGGGATCCGTGCCCTCGGCTGCCTGCGCACCACCCCGGTCAGGGATCTTTTTGGCCAACCTGCTCCGCTGCTGGCTTCGCCCCTCTCACCGGTTTAGCTGAGCATTTTGTTGTTTTCGGACTCTGTGTTGTCGATTTTCTGTGTGGTTTGGTTGCGTTTATTGTTGTTAAAACTTTGCTGTTTTTAAATTTGGTTGTGCACGGACGCAAGGTGTTTCCACCTGCGCCTCCATCTTGGCAGAAGTCCCAGGAGACAGTTTCTTAAGAAATGCAAAAAATATGGAACAGAACTTATATCCAAGTTTTATCAGAAGAATCAACTTGTGTTGGCTTTTCCTATGTTGGCTTTATCCTACTTCACTGATACAATTTTTTCTATTCTAATAGGTGAAAAACCTTTTGAATGTCCAAATTGTCATGAACGATTTGCTAGAAATAGCACTCTCAAATGTCATCTGACTGCGTGCCAAACTGGAGTGGGGGCAAAGAAGGGAAGAAAGAAGCTTTACGAATGCCAGGTATGTGTGGCTGTGGTCTGTCCTTAGCGGAGGAGTCCGTATTTGAAATCATTCAAAGTGAAGGGTGGCAGAGTCTAGAGCAGAGGGTTGCCGCTGACAGTTGGCAAGAAGTGAGAGGAAGGAACGTCACTGTCTTGATTTGACAAGGGGTTGTAGTGGCTCCCCTTGCCCAGTCCTAGCCCTGTGTGACACTGGTGTCGGTAAAATCACGTTCAGATCACAGGTGGTCTGACACGGGGCAGGAGGGGCTGGCGAGAGGCAGGCCAGCTTAATCAGTGCTTTGTGATTAGTGCATGGTTATCAATTTCGTTACTATGACAAATATAATCTTATATTTTTAGAATTCTTAAGGCATTTAAACAAGGCAGTATTAAAATGTTTCCCCAAATATATTTAATTTGTTAGCTATATCAGGTATAAAGCCAAATAAAATAATTATAAAATCCCTTGGACCAGATTATATTACCAATACCATATTCATAACATTTTTAGAAAATGTTCCAGAGAATAAGTGAATCTTTTTTTTATCCTTTTTTCCTTTATTTTGGCTATTAAGTATTGTTAACACGGTTTTGTTTTGGTGTTTTCAGGTCTGTAACAGTGTGTTTAACAGCTGGGACCAGTTCAAAGATCACTTGGTAATACACACTGGAGATAAACCCAACCATTGTACGTTGTGTGACTTGTGGTTTATGCAAGGAAATGAATTAAGGAGGCATCTCAGTGAATCGCATAATATTTCTGAGCGTCTGATAACTGAAGAAGTCCTTTCGGTGGAAACCCGTGTGCAGACTGAGCCTGTGACCTCAATGACTATCATAGAACAAGTGGGGAAGGTCCACGTGCTCCCACTGCTTCAGGTTCAGGTGGACTCGGCACAAGTGACTGTGGAGCAGGTCCACCCCAACCTGCTCCAGGACGGCCAAGTGCACGATGCGCACCTGGGCGAGCTCCCGGAGCAGGTCCAGGTGAGTTACCTCGAAGTGGGTCGGATTCAGACTGAAGAAGGCACTGAAGTCCACGTGGAGGAGCTGCATGTTGAACGGGTAAATCAGGTGCCCTTGGAAGTGCACACCGAGCTTCTAGAAGCAGACTTGGATCACGTGACCCCTGACCTCATGAACCCAGAGGAGAGGGAGCCGAGCCAAGAGGACACTGCTGAGGCGGCCAGAGAAGTTCATGAAGACACCGTGGGTTTAGAGCCCGGGCCAGCGGTGGGCTCTCAAGCTGAAAGCGCAGGCAGTGCGAACAGAACACCTTTGCCGGTTTTAGAATGAACAACAAATGAATATATTTTTAACTGTATGTGTTGGGTTGTTGAACTAATGCTGGGCAGTGTGACTGTCCTTGAGCTAACAAACAAGTGGACCAAAGTTAAACTCTTTCCTGTTGTGCTGAACTGTTTCTATTGAAACAACCTGATTTTTCCTCCTGGCTAATGCCACAGAGGAGGGATGTTTCCTGTAAGTGAATGGGAAGTTTTGAGAAGTATATTTCTGGAAACTTAAATGGATTATATTCTTATATGGTTGGGTACGAATGTATCTATTTTCATTGTGGTAAGGGTTCCTTCCCCCTTCCCTTTCCCAGGTTGTGTTCTTTCTGTTTTTATGTGTTGTAAAATCAAACAAAATCATTAGAATACAAGCACTTGTATTCTAATGCATGTTAGAAAATTGAATCTGTAGGAACACAGGCTGCATGAAGAAAGGTGCATGGTTACTGTGCAGTTCAGCTTTGGCTTCTGGCTTCTTCGGGTCTGAACAGCATCCTCGTCCACCCTGGTAGTCACAGGTGTCAGCTCTGCAGCAGAGACGGCAGTGGCGGCGGCAGAATTTCCAGAATGTAAACAATCCACACCCACGTGCCTTTTCAAAACCAGCTAAACTTCTGTAAAGCATCTCTGGTTCTTTCAAAGTGTGTGTTATAAGGAGCGATGTAGATGATGCTGTAATAGTACTTTATATTTTTGCTTATGATGGCAACTACCAATTCTTTTCCACTTAGGTTGAGAATTTCATTTAATGGCAGCCAAAGGGCCATTTTCAATTGGGAAAAATTCATTTCTATCTGTGGTAAACTTTATTTTGGTTGAAAAATTGCACTAGTATTTTACCACCAGATAAAAAAAGATGAGCATCATTTAAAAATTAATGTATTTAAAATAAAGTACAGAGAAAAACATGTATATAAGATATCAGGCTTTGTTTTGAGTGAATCTTTTCCCCAACCTTAATGTAAAGGTCTTGTGCTATAACTTTTAAAGCCATACAGATATGAGTGCTAAACTGTGGACTTAAAAGTAGGTGTGTAAATATTTTTAATCAGTATTACTTGGAAAATAAAATAGCAACCGCATAAACCAATATGCTATTTTCTTTACCTATTAAATATTGGGAGATACTTACATTTTTAAAGTAAACTGTAAAATTATGTGTTCATGGCTCTTTTTTTTTTTTTCCTCTCAATTACCAGTGTGGAAGTTGCTTTATGGTCAGAGGTGTTTTCTGATTTGTATATGATTTTATACACCAACATTGACGTGACTGATACATGAATTGAGGTATAAAATTCTCAGTACATATTCCAATCCCCAAAAACTAGTTCAAAAACAGGAAGGAGGAAGAAGGTGATATTTGTAGTCAGTAAACAGTGGGCACAACCGCCTGTTTTTAAAATAACTTTTTCTAGTTACTAGCTTGTTCAATTCAAAAGATCGATTCAACTTACACTTGTTTGGTAACCCTGGTGTTAAATGTGTCTCACAAAGTCGCTGAAGAGACTGGCTAGAACGGCTCCCTGCAACGGGGGGAGTCAGAGGTTTAGAGGTACCAGGAGTAGGACATGGGGGGGGTTGTTTGTTTTTAAGAGTTTTCATTTTATTTTTAGACAGTGGGGAAGGGAAGGAGAAAGAGAGGGAGAGAAACATTCATGTGTGGTTGCCTCTCGTGGGCCCCCCACTGGGGACCTGGCCCCCAGTTGCAGCCATGGACCGTGACTGGGAATCCAACCAGCAACCCTTTGCTTCACAGGCTGACAATCCACTACTGAGCCACACCAGCCAGGGTGAACATTGTGTTTTTAAGATAAAAAATATATATGAGCATTTTCTTTGGTTTAATATATTTTATTTATACTTTATGCTATTAACAGTCACCCTGATTTTCCACCTTTGCCCGGGCTCCGCCCAGGGCAACTGCGCCCCCCCCACTATTGTTCATGTCCATGGGTCATGCATATAAATTCTGTGGCTGCTCCATTTCTTAGGCTATACATTACATTCCCAGGGCTGTTCTATAACTACGTATTTGTACTTCTTCATCCCCTTGCCTCTTCACCCATTCTCCCTTTCCCACATCCCATCTGGCAACCATCACAATGCGCCTTATATCCATGATTCTGCCTCTTGTTTGCTTCGTTTTTTAGATTCAGTTGTTGACAGAGTTCTGTTTTTTGCCATTTTATTCATAGTTTTGATTTTTTCCTTAAATAAGTCCCTTTAACATTTCATATAATGATGGTTTGATAAGGATGAACTGTAGTTTTTTCTTATCTGGGTAGTACTTGTCTGCCCTTTGATTCTAAATGGTAGCTTGCTGGGTAGAGCAGTCTTGGCTGTAGGCCCCTGCTTTCGTGGCGTTGAATATTTCTTGCCAGTCCCTTCCAGTCTGCAAAGTTTCTTTTGAGAAATCATCTGACAGTCTTATGGGAACTCTCCTGTAGGTAACTAACTTCTTTTCTCCTGCTGCATTTAAGATTCTCTCTTTATCTGTAACCTTTGGCATTTTAATTATGGTGTGTCTTGGAGGGGGTCTCTATATCCATCTTGTTTGGGACTGTGCTTTGAGCACTTGCACGTCTGTTTCCTTCACCAAATTAGGGAAGTTTTCTTTCATTATTTTTTCAAATAAGGTTTCAATTTCTTGCTCTTCCTCTTTTTCTGGCATTCTTATGATGAGGATGTTGGGGTGTAACCTCTTGCAGTCCCAGAGGCTACTTATACTAGCCTCGTTTTGGGGGATTCCTTCTTGTTCTGATTGGTTTTTTGCTTCCCTATGTTCCAAATCATTGATTTGATTCTCGGCTTCATCCACTTTACTGTTGTTTCCCTGTAAATTGTTCTTTATTTCCATCAGTGTATCCTTCATTTCTGACTGGATCTTTTCTATGCTGTTGGGGTCCTCACTAAGTTTTTTTTTTTTTTTAATTATCTTTAGAGGGGAAGGGAAGGAGAGAGGGAGAGAAATATCAATGTATGGTTGCCTCTCATGTGTCCCTCGCTGGTAACTGGCCTGCAACCCAGACATGTGCCCTGACTGGGAATCGAACTGCGATCGTGTGATTCGCAGGCCCGCGCTCAATCCACTGAGCTACACCACCCAGGGCAGTTTTTGATCATTCCTTATAACCAGTGTTTTGAACTCTGCAGCCGATAGATTGCTATCCCCATTTCATTTAGTTCTTTCTCAAGTTTTGATCTGTTCTTTCACTTGGGCCATGTTTCTTTGTCTCCTCATTTTGGCAGCCTCCCTGTGTTTGTGTCTGTGTATTAGGTAGAGCTGCTTTGACTCTGTGTCTTGTTCGTGTGGCCTTATGTGGTAGGTGTCTTGTAGGGTCCAAGGGGCACGACCTCCCCAGTCACCCAAGCTGTGTAGCACCCTTCATGTGGGCTCAGTGCCTCCTGTAGTTGAGCCTTGGTTGCTGTTGGCAGATCGATGGGAGGGATTTGCCCAGGCCAGCAGGGACAAGGACCGGCAGTGACCACAAACCACCAACCTCTGCCCTCTGTGGAGGATCAGCCGTACAGAGGCAGGGTGGAGCTGCTCTAATGTGGTCTGTAGCTGTCCTTGTGTGCAGGCCCTGGGGTTTCCGGTGTGGTGCAGGCCAAGGTCATCCTCCACCTCTGTTCTTCCCAGGGCCACCTTGCCTGGGTTATAAGGTAGTCTGAGAATGGCTGCTATCTGTGCTGTGCTTGAGATTCCCAGGTGAAGCCAAGCTGTGAATTGAGGCTGCTGCTGCTAGTGCTGGGCCTGAGGCTCGCTGAGGCCAGCTGTTGCTTGTTTGAGAGGATTTTGGAAGTTGTGCAGCATGAGCCAAGACCATCCATTCATACGGAAAAGCAGCTTGGGTGGGCCTGTAAGTTGTGTGGGGCAGAGTCTCTGAGGATCTCCAAGATGGGTCAAACAGTGTTAGCCAGGTTGATGGAGTCTTGGGGCACCACTTTGCTGGCTCTGGGGAGTGGAGTTTAGAAAAAGGACAGTGGCTTCTGCTCATCTTGTTGGAAGACACTTCATTTCCCCCCTATGTACCACTGGTGCCTTTCAAGCTGCTACCCTGTTGCCTGAGCTCAGAGGGAGTGAGTCCGAGTAGGTGAATCCATGTGTGGGTGCTTTAAGGGGAACTGCTTGGGGGTCCAGAAGTTGCTTCCACCAAATCAATACCCATTGGTTTTTTGCAGCCAGAAGTTACGGAGACTTATTTCTTGGCTCTGGAACCCTGGTCTGAGGGGCCTGTTTGGGCCTGGAACTCTTTGCTCCCGAGATGTCCTGCCCACATTTTTATCACCACTCATGGATGCGGAAGCAGCCAGTCCCTCATCTGCACCCCTCCTACCAGTCTGGGTGGATGTGGTTTCTCTAGTTCTGTGGTTGTTCCATTCAACCTGATTTCTGTCAGTTCTGAGTGATGGTTGTTCTATATCTTAGTTGTAATTTTGATGTGGTGTGTGAAAAGGTGAGCCGTGTCTCCTGTGCCCGCCATCTTAACCGGAAGTTTGAGCAATTTCAAGTGTGGTGTTTGGCAGTTGGGTACCTATCATAAAGCATATATATATTTAATCCTATATGTATGATTATATATATAATGTGTAGTAATGTGTAGTAATATAGTAATACATTACTATATATAATCATATATTTTTTTTCTTTGAAGTCAAATACTGATGAAAGAATTAAATTACATATTTAGTTTGTCTTATGATGTCCATATTCCTGAGAGTTGTACTTTAAAAACAATTCCTGCCCTGGCTGGTGTAGCTCAGTGGATTGAGCACAGGATGCAAACCAAAGGGTCGGTGGTTTGATTCCCAATCAGGGCACATGCCTGGGTTGCGGGCCAGGTCCCCAGTGGGGGCCATGTGAGAAGCAGACACACATCAATGTTTCTCTACCTCTTTCTCCCTCCCTCTCTCTCTCTCTAAAAATAAATAAAAAATTTTTTAATTCCTGATGGTGGTCTCAAGCACTCAAATGACTAGTGAAGTGTGAATGCTGACAATAGCTCATGCTGTGCCCGGAAGTCCGGCAAGACACACGGTTTATTCTTAAACAATCTTTTAAGAGCTTTGACTACAAGGTGGAGGTTGAGGTCGGGGATAGAGGCCCAACAAGGTTAAAATTACCACGTGAGTTTTCAGATTCGGCAAGGCCTTCAGGGTGGTTTGGGGGCAGGTGTAGTTCCTTTTACTTTTCCCAAGAGGTGATAAGGGCTCCGCCCATGCTTTCCAGGTGCCAGGAAATGAGACGGCAGCGGGGAAGAAAGCTACCCACTGCTAATAAGCCTAACCTGGAGTCTGCAAGCATTTACACACAACGCAGCGATTCAAATCTTCCAGTCCTGAACTGGGTTTTTTGTTCCTCCCACTTCTTCACTCCTACTGAGGGCTTTCGCTGGGTCTACAGTGTGTAGCGTATGTAGCTGGGCAGGGAAGTGCCTGCCCGCGGTCCTCGGGAGTCCTGCGTGCCCTGGCGAGTGATGGAGCCCCTTGTTTCTCCCACGCTCTGCAGTTCCAAGGGCAGTTCCGTCCTCCGACCCCAGTGGGTTTCCATCACTTCGGACACCACTGAATTAGCCAGGACTCCAGAGGTTGCGATCACGAGACTGCCCCCACTTCAGACAGCATTCTGCCTGGCCATGGACAAAGCAGGACGTCTTACCCACTCAGGTTCAATGCTTCACCAGAATGACCAGCTGGAGCAAACATACGTATAATAATAGTTGTATAAGGGATGCAACCCAGGGACAGCCAAGTGGAAGAGGTGCCTGGGACCAGGGGCAGTCGCAGGGGGTCGGGGCAGCGCTTCCTCTCCTGGGGCTTCTCCTTCCTGGCACATGGTGTGTTCCACCCAGAAGCTCCCCTGACCATCGAAGTTTCATCTCCTGGACAGGTTAATTAAATCATTGCCCATTGGTTATTGAACTGTCCTCTTCCTCCTTCCCTGGAGATCTTGGGGTGGAGCTGATCGTTCTCCCACCGAGTACCAACCAGGCCCGACCCTGCCTAGCTTCTGAGATCAGAGGAGATCGGGCTCGTTCAGGGTGGTGTGGCCGTAACCTGGAGCTGATAGTTCTGATGCTCCAATGTGGTCGGTTCCTCGGGCACTCAAGGCCAAGAGTCACCTAATTGTTGGCATGAACTC